TGCCCCTCGCCGATTTACCCACCTGGCTCTATCTCAGGTCACGATGCTTGGCCACAGTCTTACCCATGAACGTGCATCGCTATATCCCTTACTAGTGCGCATAGTATCCCCTTCCGAGAGCAAGAGACGGCTGGGCTCGCAAGCTGGGATTGGCCACCCAACGCGTAGCAGACACGGCACTCTCATTCCTGTAAGCTGATGAATAGGAGAGAGAGATAGGCCCATTGTGGGGGAAGCGACGGGTGGAAATACGCGTCTTCTAAGCGTCAGAAAGCGAATGAAAGGAGGGGGGTCCGCTGCAGGTTTACTGCTGTAAACAAGAAACGAGGCAGTGAGGAAAGTGAAAGACAAAAAAAGCCTTGGGGCACTATTGTGTTGATACTATTTCCAGCTAGTTATGCTGTGTACCAATGCGAGATATGCGAGAGTGAGCTCACTTGTTTCTCCTCACGCTAGCAGCAACAATACACACAGGATACTTTGCACATGTCGGGACGCCGACCCTTACCCCATCCGCTTTTCGGGACAGTCTCGGGACACTTTCGGCCGGAGACGAGAGCACACTCGGGGCCGGGAGTGGTCCATAGCGAGCTTCCTGGTGGCCAGTGGATACCCCCGTTCCAAGCCTCAGTGACTAGTTGACCTGGGAGTTGATTACCCTGTGCAAGCGGAACAGCGGTAGCACTCAACTTGCCCCCAAAAGTGCCTCCGAAACCCATGACGGCTGTTGTGTAGCAGTGGCAAGCAGGGATCATCTATCCCGCGTGAGTGCGCAAAGTACTTGGTGCTAGCACATCCCTATCTCACGGCTCGCGGCTCGTGGTTCGTGGTTCGCGCTCCAAGTGTGAAGCCACCAACAACTGCCCCAGTCGCGCGACAGGCCAGCGACAGCCGTAGTGCCTGATTCTGCATCCCCGGCAGGGTAGACTCGAGTGTGCTAGGGGGGGCCCAGTCCACCATCAAACAGCTTGACCCAAAGTTGCAGTATCCTAGGAGAGAGCTCGATCCCTGAGGCGCTAGGTAAATTTTAATGTTGCGCTCGGATGCCTGTTTGCTGGCCTTGATTGCGGGACCAGTGGCGGTTTTCCGTAAGCACTCTCATCTGGCATTCGCTCCTCGCGTCTTTTTGTCTCCGGCGAGCTCATGTTAGAGCTAGTGCCATTCTATGCCGCTTCGAATGGAATAGCTGTTTTCTCTTCAGTACATGTACGGAGTACTCGGGGCTCTGTACTTGTGTATCAAATGTTGTCCCCTGGCCCCTGTGGAGCTCGATCTTGCCAAGTTTACGAATACTTGCTCGAGCTGGCATTTCTGCGTTGCCTTTGACTTGTGTTGACGTACAGTGCAGTGCAGTGCAAAGCAAGCACAAGTACGAGTAACGTGCATGTAAGCCACACGTCCACACTGCAACGTCCGGCCCCGCCCATGAATCAACGGCCCCCAAATGTCTTGGAAAAGGCTCATCAAGGCCGGTCCTGTCTTCACGGGCAAAGGGAGGGGCAAGCTGAGCGAGGTAGTCGCCGTTCAACAGGCATGAATGATTGCCTGAGCAGCTAGAGCGTACATGATGCCCAAATAATATGCGGTTAGCTTTGCAGTATACTTTTGTTAAAACATGGAAGGGAAGAGGAGGGGGGTAAGGGTGGGGGATAGAGCATAGCAAAAGAAGGGGGCAAAACGTCGAAATTACTGCATTTGAGCAGCCATGCTGCCAAGAGCTGGCGGGAAGGGGAGTGGGTGGCTGTCCAACACCCCAGCAACTGCTTTTCGCAGACAGCACAGTACGAATTACTCGTATCTATCGTATAATAGGTAGCGAGATGTCAAAGAAAACCAGAACGCCTCTGATCTGTCTACCAAGGTTCCTGTTTGTAATTCTTCAAGTATCGCTACTCTCGCTACTCTCGCTACCTGGTAGCTAAGTACCTGGTCAGTATCAACACTCCTCTAGTAGTAAGGTATCTCACCTCAAAGGACCAAGTAGGTACAGGTAGTTATCATACCTAATAGGGACACGGGATGCAAGATGGCCACTCCCTAATATTACCTAGAGCTTCTCTCATCCGGCATCGCTCCCAGCCAGCGTCGTCGCTTTTTCTCTTTCACTGTCTCGGCACATCTGACGCAGGGCCTGCTCAAGCAAGCAACCATGCCATGCCATGCCATGCACCTTGCTCAGGTTAGAGACGACCAGCGATTTGGAATGCGGATCAGCCTGGCCCGTCCATCGGCCCACCCTCCCGTCGTAAGTATATACGTGTACGAAGCACTCGTAGGTGAGGAAATCCTGAAAGCTCGCACAGGCAGAGGTACTCGTCTGGTAGAGCGGCACGGGAGCCCATGGGCGATCGACCCTTGCCGTGCGCGATAACTTGCCAACAATGTACAAGCGCAATACCTTTACGCTCGGCCGCGAAGAAGCGAGCAAGGGGAGCGTATTCCATGTCTGCATTCTTTGGCTGTGGAGCTCCTACAGGGCTGTGGTGCGGAGTAGCATCGTTCATTCACTTATGCGGGATTCAGGTGGGTACGGCGATATGCAACCGCATATGCACCTCGAGGGGCGTGGCTCTTCATCAAGAGCACATGCCCAGCCCCACTACAAGGATGTTCTTTTTCTGCACTTCTCGGGCACCTGCCGCTCGACACCCCCCTCCCATATTCTTTTGGACTTGTTTTATCAAGGGCCCTTTTTTTACGTTCTTATTTCCATCGCCAACCTGAACTGACACCCCTACCCGACTTTTTATTACCCTCTAGGCAGGTTCGCTGCGACTTTGTGCTGTCCCGGCCCGTGTGGGTGCATCGTCTACGAGTACAGCACGTCTACAAGTATTGACTCGTCTCAAGAATGGGTTTTCCTTTTTCGAGGAAATCGTCATCTTGGGCATGGCTGGGCCCCGGCCCCTTATTAACAATCGCCCCCTTCCCTTCTCAAGGCAAATCACAAAACACACAGACATACCAAGCTCTATGGGATGCCGCCTCGACGTCCAATCATCCAGAAGAGAGAGATACCAAGGTTCTTCCACTTGCCTCTTCGCGCGTTCAGCCCCCGACTCGCTGCTATCGACGGGACTTACAGCTCAGGCATGGCCAGGGTTCGCTATCTCATCTTGTGACTGTGATGGGTGCGCGCAACGCACCGAAACGTCTCTGCCGGGCCAGCTAGGACGTTTCATATCCCGCCTGCGTACAGAATATGCAGTGCACTGTCACTGTTTCTTATTTCCAGTGTTCTCTTTTGGCAGGCCAAGCATTCCATACATGCAGCTCGCGCATGTACAGATTACGGGAGCCCTCGTAGCTACGACGCTGTGCTCGCTCAAATGCCGTGGCCCCACGCGACGCCGCTGGCACTTGTTATTCGTCAGTGCCTGACGAATTCATCCATCCAGACCCTTCTAGACTTCGAAGCCATCAATGCGATGCATTTTTATTTAGAAACAGCGCGCCAGGAAAAGCTGCCAAAAAACACAAGCTGCAACTTAGACAGCCATCTATTTACAACGCGGCTGTGCCACATCTCTTCTAGCAAAGCTAAACCTCGAGTATGCCCTGTGGGCTCTAGCCTGCCGGACGGCTGTCGATCACTGGCCCTATCGTATAACCGTGCCACTCGACCGCCTCCGAGCATTTTCGACCAGTGAGATTGCCCACGCCTCCCAAGCCCGTTCCCGTCCGGGCCCCTTGTCATCTTGCTAGGCGGGTACGTGCTTTGTGAGTACCTAGGTAGTAGCAAACTGGCGTTAGCCTCAGGTACAAAGGTACCGCGATGCACGGACTCGGGTTCGCGGTGCTGTACCTCTCTGACTGAGGCATTCCGCAGCGTCAGACCAGGTACCCAGCCCGTACCGTCCGATGAGTTTCGGACCTGCTAAAACCACTACCTAGTACCTAAAGCAGCCAAACTAAACAACCTATCCATGCCAGCATGAAAAGCATCATCATAACAAATGACAGCTACGGGCAAGCATGTTGCATCACGTGGGCGGCTCTGTTGTCACTCTCCTCCGCCTTTTGCTCTGGCTGGGGTCTACCGCGGGCAACTTGGAATTACCTTGCGAATCCGCGGGAGTTGGAGAGAGAGGTTTCTGATTCTAGCCCCAATTTACACACAGTTCCTGTTTATAGCTGAGACAGTCTCAAACCTGTCCATGGCACGCGTAATGACAGCATCGGGCGTCTGCCGTACCCGAAAGCCTAGTTAGTGGCCCATGTCTTGCGAACTTTAAGTTAAAGGCAACTAAAAAATCATGGCTGAAAAAAAAGGGCGTGGGTAGCTGCCGCATCGTAAGTTTCTAGCCGGATTTAATGGAGATTAACGAGCGAGTCATGTCGGTATTTGTAATTCGGTGTGATCAATCACTTAAAGCCATTTTTGGGTTTAGACGAGTTGACGATTTCATTAACATGTATACTGCGACATGTGAACAAAGTTGATTGTGGGCTCAAACTGTGCCAAATCGTATATCGTCATAATACGCCACCCTTTAAGAGGGATGTGGCTCAAAAGGGGGGATGTAAGCCTAAAGCCTAAAAACAACATGAAAGAAAGGGGAAACAAAATGACAAAAAGGAAATAAAACAAATACAGCCCAAAATAAGTATTTCCTTCGCAAACGGTGCGGACAGTTCCATCCTGTCTATGTACCTCTCTAGTTGTGTGTGTGTGTGTGTGTGTGTGTGTGCTCTAAATTGATCCCGTTTCTCTTATACCCTGGTATCATTGTTCCCAAGGTCTCGCTGTTTGCCCAACACGTTGACCCGTAATTCATAATCCATCCATCAAACACCTTGAGTATACCGGCAAAAGAGGAATAAAAGGAATAAAACAGTATTATACAAAAGCCGCAGTCCGAAAATGTAGAGAAAAGAAAAGGAGAAAGGCATAAGCCGGTAACGCGCAGTGAATCGAAGATCGCAGCCGAAACCTCCATCACCAACGATATGTCCGCGAATCATCGCTGTGACACAAGGAACCCCACGGATGAGCTTATCTAAGCTGCGTGAGAGACCGCAATACGGGTGGCGACTGGTGCGTCGCCTCCCTCCTCGTAGGTTAAAAGCGAATGAATCACGGATTCGATGCGAAACTCGATTGGAAAGTCGTCTTGTTTCAAGAGCTTCGTCGCTGTTTGCACTTGTCGTGTAGGAGGTGGCCGTTTCGCGCTGTGGTTCTGGTGAATTCAGCGCCGCAGTTGGGGCAAGTGGCTTTGGCTGCTTGGCCGGATTTCTCTCGTTGGTGTCGTAGGAGGTTGCTAAAAGTCGAAAACTGCCGTCCGTTGCACCCATGCTCCCAGCAACGCGGCTTTGGTCTGTTCTGTACCACGCGAACGTGGCCAGCGCCATCTTGGCTGCTGGAGCTGCCGGCAGAAGAAGCCCCGCTGCCAGACTGCATGGTGGGCATGCGGTACACCATGCCGCTGTCTTGTCCCGTGGTCTGGATGGAAGAGTGAGAGATACTGTAAATATGTTAGAGCTGTGGCTGACACGAGATGGATGTTATCAATGTTGCGAAGAACTTACCCATATGCGTTTGAGGTAGCATAGGTGGGCGGGTATTCTACCGACAGGGAGTAGTTTGATTGCCTGGAAATATAGATGTTAGCAGCTATTGACATGGACATTGAACATGGCTCGTGTTCACAGTGTCTGCTACTTACAAAGGTTGTTGATACGGAGAAGTAAACGCCTGCTCCTGCATGTGTGGGCTGTAAGGGGGGATGTATGATGGGTCGCTCAATGCTGGAGCTGGCTCGCTGAGGAGAGACATGGCCGGCGGAGCTGTTGTATAGATGGGGAGAGCCATGGTGCTTGTAACATCGGACACTGACATCGGTGGTGAGCTCATATATGAACTGCTGCTGCTACCTCGCTGGATTCGTGTGGAAGCTCTGGAGTCCCGGCGGGCTCTGTCTCGTTGCTTCTTCAGCTCTCGCTGCTCGGGAGTGAGGATGCCCCTAGAAGGGCTTGCGGGAAGTGTCTTTGGCACACTTTGAGGAGAGACGCTGGATTCAGACACTGGGTGAAGAATTGACGAGAAGTCTTGCGCAATCATGGTAGATGTGGTGTTGTTAGATTCAAACATTCCTAGGAGGAAAGGGGAGTCAGTATAGGCTCTGTGGTCAGGCCATGCGGAAGAGTCGTCTTACCTGGCCAGGCAAATGTTGGCCTAGAGCCCACGCTAAAGGTCGGGTCGAACTGGATGGCAACGGCGCTGAGAGACATGATCAGGCTCTACTCAGTAACACGAAGTAATGAAGCTTTCTTACCTCATACTGGCAGGTAAGGGGACAGTTTAAACCTTGCGGCTAAGAAGACTCTGAAGGTGACCTTCCTGTCTAATTATGCAAGAAGGCTGAGAGGTGTATGAAGGGAGAGGAGGGGAAGAAAAGAGAAGTCGAGCTGAGGGTCGGCCTGGTTTTATAAAGCCAGGGTTCAAGTAAGACAGAGTAAGGCTGAAGCAGCTTCCGTGCCTTCACATAAGCAGCAGGCTGCGGTGGCGTGGGCTGTGACACGCAGATTCGGGGGTGGGAAGCACGAGAGTGTGGTGACTCCCACTAATAATGGAGGGGGGAAAGGCTCTGAAGGCAGCAGACGCTTTATTCAGCAGCTAAACTTGGTGTAAGTGCTCCGACCAAAAAAAAAGAGAGAATAAAAAAAAGAGAGAAAAGGGGGCCGCTTAGGAGCGACGAATGGCATTATTAGGAAAGGTTTTATCATACAAGAACGTCCGGTGGCATAGACCGGCAAGAAACCAAGAGTCGAGGCAAACGCAGTGACGGTTCGTTCTGGGCGCAGAGATGGTCAGGTAGAAGAAAACGGGAAGTGTCTGTCTTGTAGCTTTGCGTTGAGCGTCGCGTTTTCGCACACAGATTGCGGTGGTGAGAATTAGAGGCTAGAATAAGAAGTCTATCTTTGGATGAACGATCTGAGACTCGGACGATTGTTCTAGCAAGGACCAGACGTCGACTTATATGAACGAAGCGCCATGGCAAAGCACGAGAGGTGGAGATGATGTCGAGTTCCCCGTTGGCCCAGGTGCATGACGAAGGGGGGGCCTGGCAGCCCATCCAGACGGATGAGATTGAGGTACTCCCATGGCTGAGCGAACTAGCTCCAAGGCGTGCTGGTGCCAGGATGTCGACAGAACCACGCAAGGTACGACGTGCCAGTACGAGTACAAGTACAGACAGAGTTGACGAAGGGGGAGTGAGAGTGAGGGGAGGAGGAGTGAAGGCAGAGAGAGAGAGAGCCCTGACATGGGTGTGTGCGGAGGCTGTGGACATCCCGGCGCCATGCCTTGCAGGGCTTGAAGTTGTTCGGACGTGGACTGGGTGGAAAAGCGTATATGCGCTAACAGGGGTCGCAGTTCAAGGCGGGATGTGTTATGCGCGTAGTGGGAGGCTGGCATGTGGGCGGGTGTACCGCCTTATTGCATAAGTGCATTCCGCTTGGTCTGGAGTAGATTGCCATGCAAGGTTGAGCTCAAGCGTCAGTCTTCGGGAGGCGAGGCGTCGGGGGTGTGGCAATAGGCGAGCCTTGAGCCCTTTGGCGTGGGGTCAAGCTCATCTGCATTCTGTGGGTGTTGATGATGAAGAAAATTGGGTGTGTGGTTGCTGACGGCTTGGCGGCGCCGTTGTGGCATCTTCACAGCTAGGCTAACAAGGCCTGCCCTACCAGATGCCAGTGCTGTGTGGTACCTGATTGGAACCAGCTCTTGGACCTGTGCGATAATAAGCGCGTCGCACGGCGCTACTTTCGTACTTGGTGCTGGACTGTGCTGAAGCTGGACTGGACTGGACTCTGTGTGGGCAAAAGGGCCTCGGACGAGAATTACAGCCAGATGCAGTTGGGCCTCGCGCGGGTGCGATGCTTGGTGAGCAGCGAAGGGCGTCGGCACTTGGCTTGTCCGCCCAGCCGACAGGCACAGGCACCCCGGCAGCATCTGAGGAAGGAAAAGGGAACCCGGAGGAGAAAACATCAACAGGCGTGGAGGCCAGATGCACACACTGAGCCAAGCAAGGGCTGAGCCAAGGGTACGGAATTGGGGTTGGAGTTGGGGGAGGGCATGAGCATGAGCGTGGCATGGGCATGGCATGGCATGGGCAGGCAAGCACTTGTATGTATCGTAGCCTACCAGCTGCCACCCAAAAGCACGGAGTTCTGACTTCGGGGTACGACGCTGGACTCCGTACGAGTACATGTGCAAGCCAAAAGATCCTTGTCGTCTTGTTTGCTGCATGAGCGATAGGCCAACTGGCACCAGGGCGGAGCCGAACGCACTCGTGGAGCCCGAGCAGCCAGCCAGCAGCAGTAGATGGCAGCCATGGCAATAGCCGCTGTGCAATGCTACTGTAATGCAATGCTAGTCTTCGTCTCGTACATGGAGACGGTTCGCACAAGGCTCTGTGGAAGCACAAGCACAAGCACAAGCACCAGCACAGGCAGCGGCCCAGGCAGGGCGAGAAGCGTCGGGAGAGCGCGTTGCATGTAGATTCGGCCTCCATGTATGATGTACGAGTACGTATGATGTAGGTACTAAACGCACGGGCATTACCGGGCAGAAGCGTCGTACCTGCGAGGGACGTCCATTCAGCTGCAAATCCAGACCAGACGATGGACTCTGCCCAGACACGGATCTGTCCTCCATGTTAATCGCGAACTGGCGACCCCATGGGTAGGTACAAGTAGGTAGGTAGGCATGTATCTACCAGGTCCATGTATGTAGGCGGCATGGAGCATGTTACGGAGCATATCTGCCCGAGTTGGGATCGGCAGATCATTCGAAGGGCACTCTAAATGGCCTTGGGCCACATCTCGTCGTGCGAGTAAGCCCGGATGAAAGTTGTCTCTCGTACCTCTACCCACGAGCTGGCGGTTTTCTGCAGCGACGAGGACCGGTCGGTACGTACCCCCGTATCGCCAAGCCAAGTCCCAATCCAGAATGCTAGCCTACGGAGGCACGGAGTGCTCTGGTTGCATTCCCTGGTCGCGATCTGTGCTGTACCCGTAAGCAATCCATCCCATGATTGCGCGAGATTGGAGGCGGAAGTCCGTGAATGCAACCCAATCCCGGTACCCGCTGTCTGCTTCACGATAGGTTCAAGGTACCCAATTCTGTACATGCCGCGGGTGTTGACAGATAGTATTTTGTCCAGCTGCCCCCATCTGGACGAGGTACTCGTACTGTACTGTATAGCACACTCGTGCGGTAAGGGTCAGACGGGGCAGAAACGAGGGCAGGGGGTCGGCGTGGAGAGAAGAGGATACTCGTACGCACCGATTAGAGTAGCTCGTAAGTCGTATACTCGTACTTTGGGATAGATTGCACAGTATTCGTACTGCATACAGCTGGTGTTTGTGAGACAAACTAGAAGCAGGGGTGGGGGGAAGAAAAGCTAGCCGAGCACACGATGCGACGAGATTTGAGCGAGGGCCGAGTCGAGGGCCGAGTCGAGTACGGAGTACCTGAGGCAGCAAGCCTGCGCCGGCAGATGGGCAAGTACCAAGGTATGTACATACTGTAGTCGTGCATATACGGGAGCACGAGTGTGAGTGTGCCGTTTAGCAGAGGACGGGAGACACACTGTAAGGTACCGCGCCGTGTGTCTCAAGCTGCTGCGCCCACTTGGAAATGGAAGTCGAGGCTTCGGGACGCACCGCTTCTAGAAACAGCCACTGTTGATGGGCTGAATCCTGCACGTCAAGACTTGAGACATAATTGGCACTTCTCAAAGCCCACTCCAGGCGTTTAGACGGAGACAGCGCTGCCAATTGCCCTTTTCCCCATGGTTCGTTGGGGCAATGCTACCTGCTGTACGGAGTACTCGTACATTAGCATGTGGGCAAGTTGGCTCAGCCGTCGGCTTCGCTCCAAGAGGGGATACTTGAAGTACCTCTTCGAAGAGAACCAAGGTACTATTCCTTGCCCGATACGGAGTACAGATACAGCGCTCTCTCTCGGCAGTACAATCGCGAGATGCTGCCACCCAGTCCAGGTACTTCGTATACTAGGCCAATTGCAGGTGCCGACCACAAGCGCTCAGACTCGCCAAACAGGCGCGGTGCAGCTTGTTGACTGCAGGACGAGCATGTCGCTGCCAGCGGATGCTTTGGTCCTGGCCGTCCAACGCGCCAAAGAAACGGGACGAGTGCCGGAGCTGTGCCTCGGAGGCTGCCCAAAAGGGGACTTTTACACTGCCAAACAGAGATCTGGTGGCGGCCAAAGGTACACGGTACGTAGTCTTTCCCTTTTGGGCAATATGAAGCGCGATCGCAAGTATCTTGTACTTGCCCTTCTGGTCGATCGCCCTTGCCTGCATCTGGTGAGTCAGTGCGAGAGAGGTGCACTGTCACTGTCACTGTCACCTCAACACCATCGCCGGCGTCATTTGTGCTGCTAATGCTATGTGGTTATTTTTACAACCACCGACTCCAAACGATCCAGTGCCAGCACACTGGCGCCAATCCCCCTAAACTCTGTCTGTCTGCCCTTCTAAAAATTCCCATCTGTTTTGTCTTGGCCCGGGCACGCGGCCTATCGGCGACCACAGCCGCCGATTCCAAGCACAAACCCCTTGAGGCGACTTCAGCTTTGCGTCCGGTTGCAGGTCCAACGCCAATCACAGGCCTCGATCGAGATGGATTCCGGCAGCACATTCACTGCCACGGCCACCCTCAGCCCTGCGCCGCCAGACGAGGTCGGCGTCTATTCAACCCAATCGAGTCGAGGACGCTGCATGCTGGGCTGCTCCCCGCCTCAGGCTAGTTCCAGGCCACGACAAAAAATCATTGGCATAGCGGTGCAAGCCACAGCCCTCTGATCAACGGCTGTCGACTGGTGACTGGCTTTTGCGCATGGCCCCCAATCGGAAGATGACATCGTCACATCGGATGACCCCTTCTTGACGCACAGTCCGCCTCTTTTCAAATCCATAGTCTGGTGTCCCCCCTCTTAGAGTGCCAGCCAGCCAGTCCCCCTTCGCCTTCAACGGCCCCCTCGATGCCTGCCGCGTGCTAGCACTCGTACTAGTAAACATCCCGGCTGTACCTGGGCTCGAATCCCCCATCGCCAATGTCTCTCCCGAGCAGTTCGTCTCCTAGGACCCAACAAGGTGCCGGCGCTAGATGACGACAAGAGTAAGCAAGATCGAGATGGATTCGCCAATTGACAAAGGCCATCGCTTCTATGGTCAGGGACTGATCTGCCAGGGCTCCTTCAAGTGGCGTGCAACGAAACGTGACTTGCATCGGCACAAGAACGCCTTATCAAGCCAAAACTTGGCCAATGCTGAAGATAGACGCCAGTGCTTATGCTTTTACACCCCCAAGACATGCACAAGCAGTGTTTCGGACTGTCTATCTGCTTCAACAAGTTGCAAATGTGGCAAACTAGTAACAGGAAACACTCTATTCATACTCACATGCGGCGTCACATCCGGCTTGGCAGGACAGCAACAATCTTGGAAGCAGACCAGCGGTGGCAACCTACCCCACGGCTGATCTGTATAGGACTCTCCCATCAAGCTCAAATCATAAAGTCACTTTGTGCATTTGTGCTACTGTTGCCAGTCCTGGGTTGGTACGAGTGCATCCTGGCCCATGGCAGAGCCGTGAGCCAGCACGAGCCATGAATATCACCTTACAGGACGAAGGATTCCTGCATTTACAGGCACTCTTTTGCAGTATAAGCACAATGCTTGAAGCTATGACTCCTATTACAACCTAAACAACAGGGCCTCCATACCTCGCTTGCCAGCACCGCCAGGGGCGCCGTGGACCTCGCGCTGTACATAGTCATGTTGGCTTTGTTGGTCTCCATATCTGAGACCTTTTGGAACTGCAATGGCATCCTTTAACCGTGCTAGAGGGGGCTGACAGCTTAGACTCAAGAGCATAAACAACAGCCCATTATATCGGACTCAGCCTCCTCCATGTCATGGTTCCTTGCGGAGAGGTCCGTAGCGTCAATCAACTGGATGCGTTTCTAACCCTATTCCGGTCCCTTGTGTCGCTGTGCTGGCTCCGCTTTGCTACGGGGCATGCTAAGAATCTCGCTGCTCCATTGAACTATTCATGACGCTGATCAAGTTGTCGAATCATACTTGTTGTCCCTTTAGGTTGCATTCGTCTCAAAGTCTGTTTGCCCCCCTTTCATCCTCATTCTTGTCTTTAGACTTGAGGTTGGCCAATGCGTACAAAGTCTTACCTGGACGTCAGAATAAGAACTTTCGGCACTGTGTTTCATTCTCGATTATACATTGTGGGGTTTATCGAAACCCACGTTTTTTTTTCTTCTCTTCGGTCCCGAGAGCAGGGTAATAAGTACCCGCGGGCCTCCGACACGGACATGTCGATGAATTTCCAAAGCCGGGGTTTCAGGGCCTGACTCCAATCAAGATTTCTACCCATTCATGTCAATGGCCACGCGAAACGATGTTCCATTGGGAATTTGGGGGCCAGAGAGAGAGATGCAGGTTGCAGGTGGCCCAAAAGTCTTAGTGTCTTCGAGCAACAGGCGAGACATTTGCGACATTTTCCTAGCCAATCATGCCAATGACTGCAGCGTCATGACTAGATCCAAATCAAGAGAAGGCAGGCGATTCTCAACAAGTTGGCTCAGAGACTGCAGTACCTAACCAACCAGCCCGAGCTGCAGAAAGCGATTTCGACAACAGATCCACAGCTAATTTGGCTTGCAGCAAAGCGTACATTTCCATTAGGTCAGGCGGTACTTCGTACGTGGAATCTGCCATGAGAGGTTCGGGTCAAGGGGCGTGTGAGAAGGTGAAGCAAATGCAATTATCCACTTTGATCGACGACTAGGGGGCCGGGCGATGTCTCAACATACGCCCCCCCTGGACTTATTTTACCACGCCCTCGCGTGCTTTTGAGAACGTGCCACATGCAACATCATCTCGTGGACTCTCCAGGCCCTGGCCCAGTTGACACCCTGGCCGCGGAGCGAGGGGGGGATAGGCCGGCTGTCGCTGTCACACCATGACTGCTTGCTGCACGCCGCCGGAACGGGCATCTTGCCATACGAAACGTGGTTAGACACTGGTAAGAAGACAGACTGGAGCAAGGTAAGAGTTGACAGGCCAACTCCTGGCTGTTCGGGATTCGTTCGTAACTCCAGCCATACAGGCGCCGGCATTCTCTGTCACTTAATTTTTTCCAATCTCGGTCGGCGAGGCACAGGACCAGGACAAGGTTTACGAAAAGAGCGGAGAGGAGAAGATGGCCATTTGTAATAAGCATAGGGCACGCAGTCAAAGGGCATGGTCTGCGCAAATCACCAGGGCGGCGATATACGCAATTCTCCGTCGCAAAGTGGGTTAGCTGGCTGGCTGAACCCCTTTGCTGTTGGCGGAGTTGCTGTTGGCGGAGATTTTGTATTCTGCTGCTACGAGGAGGTACTAGGAGGAGTCTTCCCCGGAGTTTGGATCGTTGACTGACGAACATGCATACCCCTTCACAGAGGGCCCGACCTGGTAGCTATTCGTCAAGGCAAACTCCTTGCACAATTTTTTTTTTCAACGTTGGGATGAAGGGTTGCCTGTGTTTATCGCCTGCATGCTTCTGGTAGGGTGGCTATGGAGGTGAAGAGTTGACATGGGGGGCCAAATACTATCCGCGGCTAGGAGCATCACTACCCATGGCTCTACTGCGGCATACCTTCTCTGGAAGCTGGCCATCCGTTTTTCCTTTTTGGCATTTCCCCGAAAGACGGCCTATTCGTAATTGCTTTTCAGACTAACGAGGAGACAAGGAGGGAGAGAGACTTGGCCTGTCTGTTGGGCACTTGAGTCGGGGCAATTCTAACGCTTGAACGACTGTGCTATTTGTCAGGGCATAGAGCGCAGGATATGTCATCGGCGGCAGATTGGTCCGTCTCTGTCTGTCCCCTTACATAAACTCAGAGGACACGGAAGAGGAGGAAGTATACGCGGGCCGAAAGCCATTGAAGCCACCCGGACTTCGGAATGCGCCCCCCACCGAGCAACTGATAGCATCGCATGAGATGGACTGCGGGATCCGGAGGAGCGGGGGGACACGACAACCGGGTTTCTGGGGACAAACGCCTGGCGCCGTCTCTTTGCTCACAAAGCAAAAAGTGGCCGCCGTAGGACTCACTCCCATGGCTTCTTGGGGCAAAAGGGCCAATGGGAGCTTCGGGATGGGACAGATTCAACCAGCCCTAGGCCCTCCTTTCGGGCCGGGGACTAGATGGCTTAGGGGCAACACTGGTGCGTGTTAGCTGGGCTCGCGTGCCAGTATCATGACACAGATCACGACGAGGTGCCGCAGCCATCGCCGACTTCAGGCTTGATGAGTGGATGGGTAAACGCCAGCAGCCCCCCTCTTCGTGCTGTCTTGGGCGGGTATCGCATCTTTCCCGGCGTCTGGCAAAGGAGCTGCCGCTCCGATGCGATGCACTGCCATCAGGGAGGAAGAAGTGAAGAGGAAGCTAACCCCTAGACCCGGCGAGCAAGATTCTGCCTTGTTAATGTCAAGCTTGATGGCGCCAGATCTTTGCGAAGCAACGCCACTAGGCCGTGGCTTGATGGCGGGCAGCCGCCCAAGTTCTCTCACAGAGTTCTCCTTTGCCCTTGGTATCCCAATCCCGGCCCACTACTGCTTGTTGCAGTCACACATTACCGCATTGCTTCGCCTACTTGTGTTTGCCTAAGGACAAGATGGCGCTTACACGCGCCTCTCTCGATGATCATAGGCTAGCGGAAGACTGTTTCTGCCAGTCTGAATCGGACCTCACCTTGGATGTCAAATACGCTTAGGGGATAAACATGACAGCATATGACCACCAACTTGGTCCGTACCAACGTCATACCCTTATCGACCATGATCGAACAGATTCAAGTTTAGAAACTATGCTACATGGCGGCTCAGAAGGGGGCGAGAACGAAGGCACGTTGACTTGAGAGTATCTAAGTTTGAATTGTTTTCTTCTCATCATTGAAGCGCTATGATGCCATGCGGGGCTAAGTTCTAATCTCCATGCCGAAGACTTTCGGCCTCTCTAGCCATACGACTGGCGTTATTATAACCTTTTTTTTTCATCTCTTGTTCTATTACTGCTGCCACGTGGGGTTGCGGGCGCAGTGCTACAGCAAGTACTCCGTCTGATCGGAAAAGGTGTCGCTGCGTATCGTAGCCCTCCCGCGAGATTGGCATTCCCCCCCCCCCCCCCACAATCACAATAAAAGAGTTTGAATCCAACGAGGCGTGGGAATGGCAGAAAAGCCACATTGTTGACCGCAGCCTTGTCCGTGTGCCACGGGGAATTTGAAACAAGCAACTGTTAGAGGCTACCGCCATAGGGGACGGGCGTTTAATCCTTTGGGATTTATCAAGACGATATAAAATAACAACCTAAAACCGGTGCATTAACCGACTCAACAAATAGCAACGCCCAACAGCTTCAAGGCGCTGACCGGCACAGAACGAGGACCAGTCTGGAAACAAAACAAAAGAAGAAAAAAAAGGCACCGCTGCAGCTTACAAGTGGTACCTGTATACGAGTGTCGTGTGGGGAATGGTGAAGAAGAAAGTCTGAGACAGGGGAGACAGGGACTTCGGGGATTCAGCAGGCAGGGGGTGCGACTATCAGGCGTCAAATCCACGGGCGGAGTGAGGTGAAGAACGGACCAGTACGGCCTAGATGAATATCTAGATTGGTTTGGGCGCCACAGACGTCGGGGTGTTTAAGGCTATACTCGTATGCAACTATGCGGCAGCTCTCGGGTGGCACGAAGCTTCTACTACTTCGTTTTCGTGCACGTCCCAAAGAGGAAATGGCCGAGTTGAGAAGACTCATAACTTGGGAGCCTGGAGTTTAAAGCAAGAGGGGAGCAAAGTGATTACGAAACGACGACGTACTTTTACACGTATGTGCGTGCGAGGCTACGAGGGACCGGGTTTTGCTTTAGGGGGGGGGAGGGAAAGCGAAAGCGAAGACGAAAAGAAGAAAAGACAAAGAGAGCTGGAATTCACAAACGCTGTGACCCAGATTGCCATTTGTCGGCAAAGGGCCGATTGCAGGCCTGGTTTCGCTTCTTCTTTCTTTCGTTGCTTCTACAGCACAGCGCGACGCAACGCAACGCAACGCAACGCAACGCAAACGCAGTGCAGCTGGGCCGACCAGGGGTGTGTCTTTCGAAGGTGAGGCGGTTCGGACTCGGCTTTGTCTCACTTGTCGCAGCCTTGGGGAATAGAGGACCCCGACATTTCTGTATGAAGAAGGGCTGCCTTGGGAGTCACAAGAGCGGTCGATAGATAAGACAAAACCGTCCATTGAGCGGATACGTCGGCGGGGGGGAAGGTTTCCCATAGGTGTTCTTGTCTACATGACCGGAGCACGCTTGTTTGATCGTTTGTGTATCATTCGTCTTCTCATCCGCCATTGGTCGGGTGGGTTTTATTTGCTGCCCTTCTTTTTCTTCTTCTTCCCTTATTTTCAGTTTTCCATCCCACCCTCCCCCTTTTCTCTGGTTGCCGAAGCCCGATTGTAAGAAAGTAAGAATGTGTGCAACAATTGGCTGACACCGAAAGCTGAGAAAGATAATAATTACGTTTTACATACATTGGTGAGCTGAAAGGAGAAGAAGAGAAGAAGGCAGCAACTGGGGCGTTCCGGTTGCCACCGGATATAGCGTCCTCTCTCTCCTTGAAATTGAGCTCGATGCAACATAAGCATGCATTGATACATTGATTATAGTCAGAATGTTTACTTGTACGAGCAAGCAAATAAGGCGAGAGAGAGCGCCAAAGTTGGTGCCTGGTGATTTGTGACAGAGGGGTGGGGGAGAGAAGAGAGAGAGAGTTGCCTTAGGCCTCATCTGGCTGTGGCTGCGAGAGGCGAGGCGAGTCCAGATGAGGCGATGCCATTCGATGCGCGATGCCGATGCCGATGCGAGGTGGTGTGTCTTTGGATACCTTTTTAATTTACGGCTTCTGCCTTGAAGTTGCTGCCTTGAAAGTTGTCGCCTTGCTTGGATGGATGGATGGGTGGGTGGGTAAGAGTGGGCTGAATGAACATTGAGATGATTTGAATGAATGCGAAGGAATTGAATGAGAATTGCTGGCAAAGTGCTCAATTACTGCGTTTGCGTGGCGACGATGCATGAATAAGTCCAAATGCCCGCTTGGCTAAGCGGTATAGCGTGTCACTAGTATTTACGACTTGACATGACAAGGTGATCAGTTCGACTCTGATAGTGGGCAATTTCTTTTTCTTTTTTTGTATGTTTTGGAGTTTCTTGTTCTTTTTGTCCTCTCTTTTATTGATTCATCATTTCATCTTGTGTGTTATTGTTACCCGGTGTTGCTTGTTGTAACTGCTACTCTGTATGTGAATCCGTATTCAACAAGGGGACAATGACAACAACAACAACAACAACAACAACAAGCGTGTACTGCATGTACCGTAACTCGTAGATCGGCAAGGATGGCCGTTACAGTACGAGATTCAGATGAGACACTCGGGCTGTGCCTATCGGATGATGCTCGCTCGGTCATACATGGACGCCATATTTTTTTCAGCTGCTCTGCTCGTGATGATCACGGCCTAAGCAAACAAAGTGTCCTCATGACTCAACCTGCAGTTGGTCATTGCTGCGGCCTAGACTTGTCGTATTGCCCTCGCGTGTCCGTCCCGTCTACGTCATTCCGCCAGCCTTCTGCTGTAACTGTAAACTGTTTTACGTACTTTGTACTCTGTCCTCTATTTCTCAGCAGTTTCTCAGGTTTCCGATTTATCTATTATTATTATTATTATTATTATTTTGCTGGGGGGGGGGGATTTATGTAAGCCACCAGATATGAGTGATCATGAGTCTATACTGTAACATACATGTACGAGGGGGGATAAAAGGCGGGGAGGAGGGAAAAGAGGCTAAACAAGAGTCCCGCAAATTGCCCCTCAGGCTTGCTTGACTTTTTGAGGGGTGACAGATTTGGGTGCCGTGAATGTTCGATGATGAAGCTTCTTGACAGCTGTTTTGGAGCTAACAAGAACGACGAGCTTTAATAATAACAGAATGGAAAACGTGGCCAGATGGTGGTTGTTTAGACGAAAGCTGGCATCTTTTTTTTTTGTGTGTGTGTGTAGTGTTTTCTTATTTGGCTGTATAAATACATATTGTTTTGCTGCTGTTGTATTTTTGAAAGCAGTTTGCTTTTTGCTTGACGTCGTTGACAACACCGGTTAAACCCTTTTCGGCTGTTTTGCGGCTTTTGCTCTTGACATCTTTTTTTTCTTGCCTTTGCCCCCGAGAATAAAGCTACAGAGCGACACGAAGAAGGAGAAGAAAACAACTCGAGGCTTTCTTCCTTTTGGGCATTTTTGTTTTGTTGTTACGTTTTGTGGTTTGCTGGCGAACAAACGACGAAACGACGCACCCTTGCGCTTTTGCGCGTCGATCGAGAACCGAAAGACCGAGACCGTTTTGCTCGAGAGATACTACAGACAGACAGACATACAGGCGCGCGCAGTTTGCGTTTCCTTCGTCTCTCCCTCTCTCTCGGCATACATACATATATATATAATTTCCATACACAAATACACACGGCATCATGTCGTCCTTCTTCGTCGAGCTCTGGGAGGGCATCTTCACGCCCGGCCCCACGCCCACCATCCTCAAGGCCACAAACGTCACCTTTGCCGCGCTGCAGGCCGTCCTGCTGTCGCTGCTGTTGGCGACGCACAGCGTGCATTTTGTCGTGCTGTCGGCGCTGTGCGGCGGGCTGTGGTGGTCCATCAACTGGTTCGCGCGCGAGCTGCGGATCGCGCAGGCGGCCGAGGAGGACAAGAAGACGAAGCAGAAGCAGAAGCAGAAGCTGCCGGCGGTGGCGGGCGGCGGCGAGGTGTCCGGGTCGAGCGATACCGAGGTCGAGGGCAGGGTGACGCGGCGGAGCGCGAGGAATAAGAAGAGCGCTGCGGCTGCGGCTGCGGACGTCGAGCTTGTGGAGGAGAAGGGGGAGGTGAAGCAGCGGCAGCCGTTGACGGAGTCGGTGTCGAGCGTGAGTACGGAGGATGAGTGGGAGAGGGTGTCGGAGAATGAGAGGGAGAGGAAGTGATGGGAGGAGGCCACTTTGCAGTGGTATAACATCGCTGGGCTCTTCTGTTGAAGAAGACTTGTCTCCCTGTTTGCATCTCTTTGGACGTTGTGTCTCCCTCTGTGTACTAAAGGGGAGCTCCGTCGTGTGTACATATAACTCATCACTTGTTGTGGGATGAATGTGTGAATCTAACAAGCAACGTCAACTGACGGACTGCATTCTTCTGTGTGTGCCTCGTAGTTCTGCCACTGCCTTTGACAACCGAGGTTCCTTCAATACCATGAGAATTTGATCTCTATCTACGCTCTAAGCTCTAACTCTATGTACGATACAAACCAAGTATTTTATAATGAACAAAAGAGAAGAAATGAAAGAAAGAAAAGTCGGACTGAGAAAAACCATCATGTAACAAGAAATGAAAAGTTCGCATCACTCCTTTCTCCACGCTTCAAACAAAGGAACAAAAAGATGTCCTCTTTCTCATCATCGTCATCATCTCCCCCCGTCTTGAAAGAATCACAATAGGCAAACCATAAAGCCAGAACTAAAGACGGCGTCTTTTCACAACTTCCGTAGCTTCTGCGTCATCCGAGCCGCAACAAGGGTGCTCATGGCGCCAATAAACAGACAAACCGCAATGGCATTCGTACCTTCGCCAGCATCCTTACTGGCGGTGTCCTCGGCGGCTTCGTGCAGCTCGGGACTCTTGCCGGGCTCGAGGACGGCGAAGACGATGGTGGAGATGAAGGTACCGATGAACTGCGGGAGGGTGGTGTAGATGTTGAGGATGCCAAAGTAGATGCCGGACAGCTCGCCTGACGTGGAAGATGAAGAAGAAGAAGAAGAGGAGGAGGAGGAGCGGGATGAGGGGAGGACGGAGGAGGGATCGTGGGCGCCGCTGAGTTTGTTGACTTCGATGCCGAGGAAGGCTGTTGGAGCCCACATTGCGATGGCCCATGGTCTGGAGTTTTAACAAAAAAAAAAAGGAGAAGTTAGCAAATAGATTCTAGGAGATACCATCACTGAAGCGAAAGTGTAGATGAGTAAACTTACATTCCACACAGACACATGAGAAACGTGGCGGATATGAAGCTCCTCGCCAGGGGAGCCATAAACATGGCGGCCGAGAACATCAAGTGGCCGCAGATCCAGGCCGTCAACAAATCCGGCTTCATGCCGTTGAGCTTCTCGAGGAAGCCGGCCATTGCTCGCGGCGGCCGGTGCGTGTAGCTGTCATCAGCCGGAGAGCGCACAATCATGGGCAAGAAGAAGGCGCCGACGAAGCTAACCGTCGAGTAAATCATCAAGGCCGCGCTGCCAATGCGTCCAATGTCGCCCAGCGTGTCGGCCGACTTCTTGGCACCGGCGGGCATGTCGTAGCGAAAGTACGTCTCGCCGACCCAGGTGGTGCTGTAGAAGAGAAAGGGGAACCAGCCGATCCAGGACCAGAACTGGGCCCAGCAGATGGCCTGGACGCGCGGCGGCAGGGTCAGCAGCGTGGAGCGGATCTGGCGGAGGACGCCCAGGGGGTCGTCGAGGCGCTGCTTCTTGTCGTCGTCGTGGTCCTTGCTGGCGACGAGGACGCGCTCCGTGACGGCCCAGCAGGTGACGGAGGTGGTGCCGAGGATGGCGAGGGCGGCGATGACGGTGAGCTGCTTGAACTGCGAGTCGCCCAAGGAGGTGCCCAGCAGGCGGACGAGGTCGATGGACCCGGCGCCGTAGCCGATCATGTGGCCGATGGCGTTCATGCGGCTGCCTGTATTGACGGTATGATGATGATGTTTAGTAAGTGTTGAACAAGAGAGAGGTGAAAGAGAGAATCAATGGGTGATGTACTGACCCCAGGCAGCTCCGGCTTGCTGCTTCTCAATGGGAAGCGTATCGACAATGAGGCTCCTCGCACACGACATGACTAGAAAACGGAACCAACAATCATTAGCCCCCCCCCCCCCCTCAAACGAACCTCTTCACAAAAGGGAGATTCTCGTCTTTCAAAACATACTCATGTTGATGGCAAAGTCGACCGCGTAAATCGCCGCCACCGCCAGCACGACCGTCACCCTCCTCGCCGCGTCGCTGCCAGCCTCGCCCCCCAGAAACCCTACAATCTCCCTCGTGAAGCCCAGCACCAACAAACACGCCGACACAACCACCGCCCCGACCATCATCAGCGGCCGCCGCCTTCCCCAGCGCGACGTGCTTTCGTCCGCCACGACGCCGACGATGGGCTGCACGATGAGGCCGGACAGCGGGCCTGCGATCCAGACGAGCGACGTGTTGCTCTTGGTGAGGCCCAGGTTGAGGAGGTAGGGCGTGCAGTCTGCGAAAGAGAGCTCATGTTAGCTTTAAAACCCATGACTTTTTTTTTTTTCACAATGAATGAGATTGATTGATTCTCGTCGAGTGAGAAATTCAACAACTTACAAGTCATTTCAATCCCCCACGTAAAGCTATACCGCAAGCCCCCCCAAAAACGCGTCAGCAAAAGACTCTCTCACCCTCACCTTCACCCTCACCCTCATCCTCACCACAAAGAAAAAAAACAACACATAAGAGAGAAAAAAGAAAAAAAAGAGTAAGAAAAACTCACGTAATCCCAATCGTGCAAAACGTCAACAACACCATCTGCACCGTCTCCGAACCGCCCCGAATCGACGCCCTTCCAACCAGCGAAGACGCCATCGTGGCCGCTTTAGTTGTTTGGGTATCTAATCTTAACAGCCCCCTAATAAAAAAGCGAAAAAGAAAGATGGGATAACGTTCCAAGTGTGTGTTTGTGTGTGTCGCGTGCGCCCGCTAAAGCAGTCGAATAATCCTCTTAACAATCGGCCTCGTTAACTGCATTGCTAGTTACCATCGTTTCTCATATTTTCTTCAAAATTACTGTTGTCTCTTTTTTTTCTTCTTTGTCGTGAAGATAAGATTGCCTGGTAAAAACCCCCCCCCCAAGGTAAAGGGGGCTCATGTCGCGTCCTTTGTTCTCTTTCCCCCCAGCACAGGCTATTAATAGCCCCCTGTGAGACCCAGAGTTCTCTCGTTCGTTGTCCGTTCTAGACTCGAAACAGCCATGGGGGGGCCTCGTATCGCAGCAACACTGCAGGATAACCTCGTAACAGAGACCCATTCTGGAGGCTGTTTCATACCTAGATATTACTGTACTTACTGGTTGGTGTTGGTGTCTTTCTTGTCTTGTCTTGTCTTGTCTTGGCCCTGTCTTGGCCCAACAACTGTTTTACGAGCATTTCTCACCGAGCATCGAGGTTACAGCATGTCATGTCTTGTTGTACAGTCGATTACTACCCATCAAAGAGCGCTTCAGCAAGCTCCAGCCATTTCGTACAGAAATAAATCGTGTCATGACATGGTATCTTTCGGCTCAGATCTGTCTACTTTCGTGCTGCGACATGGTAGGACATGTAAGTCCCTACATCCCGCCCTCTCTCTTCCATTAAGCCGCTTGCTTTCACACGCCTTACACCGGGCCTTGATGCCCAACGCCTTTGAAACCCGACAAGACAAATCGAGTGCCAAAAGAAGAAACGAAACAACAAAAGCTCTCGTCATCTCAAGGTTGCCACAATCAGAATCCCCTTCTTCCAACCCAGGTGCCAATTGGCTCTGGCTTCACCATTGAGAAAGAAAAAGAAGAAATTCGACATTTTAGCAACAAAGACGACAACAGAGGAAAGCAGTAACAGGCTGAAGAGAGATCCACTGCGCAGCTGCTATGCTTCTTCAAATGCAAAGTAGAACCGTGCAATGAAGAGAGAAGGAGAGAAAAAGAAGGCTTCATGAGACAAACGGAAGAAAAAAAGGACAGAAAAAGAAAAAAAAAAGAAAACGCCTGGTTGCTTGCCTATCCCTCCTCAATGCCTTGGTTATTGTGTACACGTGCATCTTATCTTGTTCGATGCTGATCCCGGTTTCCATAATAGTAGTAAAAAAGCAAATCCGTCGCTTCGTCTTTTGTTTGTTTTGTCTGCCTCGCGCCAACGCCATGGTCAAAATTTCAATTATGCGCTCTCTATGAGTCGGCCAGCTTGGCAAAATGCTTGGACCAGATCCAGCCCACCTGGTCCGTCGGGTCGTCTTGGTTCTTTGCAAGCCAGAGCTCGCCCTTTTCGGCAATCACGTCAAAAATCTGTCAATCCGCAATGTTAGCATATGCTGTGCGCGCTTGGGCGATTTAGAAACATACCTCGCCCGCCTGATATGTCAGGTAAGGATACCCGGCCTCGTGTTTTGTTGTGGAAATGTTAAACTCAAAGAGCGATGCGGCCAACCACAAGATATTGTATCCGTCAGAAACATGCGCTCGCTCTCGCGACGATGCCCTAGACGACCGCTGGCTCTCTTCGGGGCCGTCTGGGAGAGGCAGCGCGGAGTGAAACAGATTGGAGAATCTGCGGCTGTCATGCTGATGATAGCTGGAATAATAGGTGTTACCCGAGTCCCGTCGGGTGTGGGGTGCCGACTCTGTGCTCTGTCGCGGCATCGCCACGGCCGACGAATCGAAGCTCTTGCCCGTACTTGGCCTCGTACCGCCAAGCGATCGAGAGGTTGCTGGCGCTTCGGCCGATCTCGGTGATGCCATTCCTGCCTGGCTGCTTGACAGGCCGGCGTAAAAGTCTCTGTAATAGTACTGGTGAGGACTGGGCGCCGACGCCCCCAAGCTGCTGGAAGGCCCAGCGGCAATGGGAGATAGAGTAAACGAGCCGCTGTGTCGTTTGCCGAAATCGGGCGCGGGCAGAGACGGCACTGCTTCGCCATTCAAGGGCTGGCCCCATGCTCTGTTCTCTGCTTCTGACGTTCGCCCCCTCGTTCTGGGGAGGTTGTCGTCTCCGTTCGTCGTCGAGATTGATGTTCGCCCATGGTAGGCCGGGTTGATGATGCCAATGTTGGCCATCATCTCGTTTGCGTAGGGAAACTCTCGCTCGAAAGTTGCCACGATTTCCTCAATTTCCGGCATTTCAGGCGCGTCCGCCAGAACAGCTCTCATCTTTTCCCTCCATATGAGGTACCAATTGGCTTGGATGTTGATGAGGTTGCCCAGGCAAATGTTTCCCACCTTTTCCGTCAACGCCGACAGCTTCGGAAGCTCCTTGATCAGCGTGTCGTTGAGAGCCTCGTATTGTTCAACCAGTTCCTTAAGTTTGGGTTCCACGCTTTTGCCCGCCTTCTTCAGCTGCTCGGCACGCTCCCATACAACTCGGCGCTTTTGCCTCTTCTTCATAGCCAGCGAGGGATTCCCGTAAGACTTGATGACATGTTCAAACGGCTCGATGACATGCTTTCGTATTTGTGCCAACTAGAATGGAAATCAGTACCAATCATCCTGTCAAGTTATTGTACGGACAGAGAAGAGGACTTACGTGCTGCTCCAGCGCTACCTTCTCAATGTCGCGGATCGAAATGTTAAACTGCACCCACTTGCTCTCCAGCTCGGGGAAGCTGCCTGGCTGGAGTCGCATGACCAACTCAATCGCCGACAGATATTGCAGAAACTCGTGCACGTACGACGACACTTGCCTAGTGTAGAACTCGACATCGCGTAATACGACCTGTAATCGCAGATAATCATCACTGAACCTTTCCTCCAGCTTGACATACTCAGGATCCTCGGGCGGCCGAGTACCGCCTTGTAGCTTGTCCACCTTCTTGCCAAAGGCTCGAGCAAGTCCCGCCTTCACGTCGGACTCCTTACGTTTTCTACCGACGATTTGTCCGACCAGCTCAAAGTTCTTCTTTGTCTTGTTGATCTCGATAATGGCCTCTTCAAGCGCCTCTTTGGCCACCACAAGCGGCTCTCGGTCGGGATGATCCTGGGGAGTGTGTTGCAGGAGCGTCATGATCAGATTCGGGTACTTTGTGATTCGCTGCATCGGTTTGATGAGGAGAGAATCCAAGTCCCACGCAGCGGTCAGGTCCTTGGCTACCTCGTTGCACTCGTTCAGCCATATCTGAACCGTCGGATCCTGTTGGATCTGGATGAGCTTTTTGGCCGCCTGGTCGCTGTTCCTCAGGAACCCCTCGTGAGCAAGCTTCATCTTCTCCATGCTGGCTTGGAACGCCGGACCAAGCGACGTCTCGCGGTCCTTGGCGTCACTAAGGTCGACAATTGATGTCTGGCTTTGTTCCGAGTAAAGCGAATCCTCTCTGGCGACAAGAGAGCGGCCGCTTTTCGGCACATAGATACTGGCCACCGCCTCCTTGAGGAGGACGAGGAACGAGGTGTGGAACTCGACAATCTCGTCGCTGTTCCGGAAAATGAGCTTGCTTATCTTCGCATCCAGCTTGGGGCAAGCCTCCGCGGTGCCTTTATAAATCTCTTCTACAATGTTCATGTCTCTTACGAAGATGGCCTCAGTGTCGACAAGCTCCTTGATGACGTTTCGCCTTTGAATCAGGCGATGTCGCTCTTCGCTGCTTAGGTCCTCAGCTTCCTGAATGAACGATTTGGCATCGCTGTCTTGGGGGGCTTGGCCCTCAAAGTACTGGTCCATAGTCTCCATCGAGGTCATGTCCATCATTGACAGAGGAGTTTCCGAGTGATGAGAGATGTACTCCCCGCTTCCCCGCTCAGAGTTGACCAAGGTGCTGCCATACTGAGACTGTTCATAAAATACACTTGACGTTTGCGATTCGATGGCTGAGTTTCGCCCAGACCGCGGAAGGACCGGCTGTTCGTGTTTCGGCGACGATAGATAGGAAAAGTCAGAAGCCGCCTCTGCAGATAAGTAAGGGATCGAGAAGCCTTCGCCCGTGTCTAGTTCCGGGAGCTGCTGGCCAAGTTGGATCGACGACCGTGTCGAGTCGACAGAAGGACGAACACCGGCGCTGTGATAAGAGAAGCTTCTAATGGAGGAATCGTCTCTTCCAGACGAACCACCAGACAGCTTCCATGAAGATGCTCGCATAACAGGCGACTCTGAGGCCTCGGAGTGTCCCATACTCTCCACAGAGACGTTTGTCCATGCGGTTTGGTGGCTTGACCTGTCGGCCCGGGATATCGAGGGCGGCGCCAAAAGTTTGTTTGGTGGACCCGCATCAAGCTGCTCGTCATGCGAAGGATATAGAAGGTCATCAAAGGTTTCAATGTCCGATGATGCACATGTGGAAGCCCTGTTCGACGAATGGGCGGCGCCGAAGCGGTACGGGGACCGCTCATCCTCCATCCCATCTCGGTCGTCTGTCTCTTCGGTACAGGCATCTGTGGCGGCATCATCGACATCAGCGCGCATGCGGCGAGCCATTGCCGGAACGCTCTCTAGGTCTGAGTGGCAGTCTGATTCATCTTGAATGTCCAGTCGGGGAAAAGACGCCGCCCGCGCAGTCTTCTCGGCAGCAGGGGGCTCGTGCGAAGGCTGCGGCAGTATCGTCACAATGGTTTGGTAATCTTGGTGCACATGGGTCTCAAAGGAGTTGTCCTGATGATCATCGTCGTAATAAGCGTCAGGGGTAAACTGCTGGTCGGTATGGCTATCTTGGCTAATGTGATGAGTCGCTGAGCGCGGCCGCGGCGGCGATGATGGAAAGTCGTCGTCCTCAAAGGGGCTTCGGTACTGAGAGCGTTCCCGTTTCGGCACTATGATTTGGGGGCTGAGCGGCCGATCGGACATAGTCAGTTCGGAAAGCTCTTCCTGGGGCTCAATATCGAACTCGGTAACAGCAGAGGTTGCTGAAATGGTTGACAGAGGCCGTTGCTTTCTTGCTACGTTAGCGGACGGTGAAGGTTCAGGGAAGCTCCCGGGGATACCCAGCGTCGGCGAATCATCATCCTTGCCAGGAGCTGGGTGCGAGGCTGCATCTGTCGGGATTTCTAGAAGGCTTGCGCGGTTGTTCTCCACAACAGCACGAGGGTCATGATCAGCTGGGAGCTCCACGGCCGGCTCCCTCGCCGAGGAGCTTTCGGCCGGCCCTGTCTCCGCCGCCTCTACCTCTGGATTTACGTGGTCTTGTGCTGGCTCGTTACTTGAGGCCTCTTCCTCCCCGGCGGTCACCGTGGTAGGCGAAGCCGTAGTTGTAGTTGTAGTTGTATCTGTATCTGGAGCGGTCGTTGTAGTTGGGGCGGTTTCTGCTTTGGCCTTGGCCTCCTCCATCTGCTTCCGCCTCCTCTCCACCGCCCTTTGGCGCACCTCGTAGGCCTGGCTTTCTCGAATGGTCTTGGTGTACGCCAGCCGAATGTGCTCTCGACGCTGTTCAAAGTCTATAGGTCCAACGGCTATTATCTTACGCTTCGCCGGGTCGTACGTCTTTGACGAAGAAGGGTTATCCCTCGCATTTGGACGTGCAGGGGCCTTCGTTTTGGCCGCCTCTTTCATTCGGGAGCTTGCTGTTGTCGCTACGGAGACTGGCTGTCGTGGACGAGAACTCCTCAAGGGCGGGGAAAGTTTGGGCGGCGCAGTGGACACGTACGCCTGGAGCCGGTTGTTGCTATTACTTGGTGTAGCCAGGCCCTGGGGAGGCTGTTTTCGACCCGTCTGCGTGGGTGTTTTCGCTCGAGTCGTAGAGGGGTTCGGCCTGGCTTGTCTGCTACTACTACGACCATTGACCGGTGGTCTCCTAAAGGTAGAGGGTGAATTCGATCGCGAGGAAGCGGGACTGGAAGGGCTTGGGCTCGCCAGTCTCCTGCTGATGGAAACGGGCAGCTTGGAGCTTGCGCCTGCTGACGCGTGTGTGGCGGAGTGGGCGGTGGCCTCTGCTGCTGCAACAGCCGTTGCCGTAACCGTGGCCGCAGCGAGTGCCGCCGTTGTTGTTGTCGCTGTTGACGTGACTGCGGGCGGAGGCGATTTGTGAATCAAGGGCAGGAGATGTTTCGACGCCGAGTGATCGCTGCGAGATCGCGTGTGGGTTTTGGGTGCGCTCCCTCGGGACATGTGGAGGTCCCTGTACCAGCTGGATGGGGATGCAGGCTCGGCTTCGAGGTCGGAGAAGCTGCGTTGACGACCCACGAGGCCGTGCACGTTGGATTCGGACGTTCTTCGAGGGGGAAGGGTGTCGATGCCAAAGCCGGCGGCCACGACGTCGTGCTGGCCCGGGGGGATTTCTCCGAAGAGTAGGCCCGGAAACTGAGGGTTAGACTTTGGAGATGGCGGCGACGGTTGGGAGGCTGAATGTGGGGAATTGCGTGGTCGAGGTGTTATAGAGCTGGAGGCGATTGAGTTCCCGTTAGTGGATGTCTCGGGTGGATGGTTCCCAATGCGGTTTGCAAACGACCGAGAGCTACCCGACATTTGCTCGCGCTCCGCATGCCTCGCCTTTTGCAAACGACTCGAGGTCGAGGTCGAGGTCGACGACGAAGACTGCTTGGACGAGTTGGAAGCGGGGATGCCAGAGCGAGAGTTTGCGTGCGTGGACGAAGAGCCTGACGGGCTGGGCTTCGGCTTCGGTTTGGTCTTAACAGTATCTTGCCTGACCCGAGCGACTGGAGCAACCTGGCGCGGAGGAGGTCTGGGGATGGAGTTTGGCCCGCCGGTCTGGTCGAAGCGCTTCTTCAGATCCTTCACGCTGGGGGCGTTGGCCGAAGGGGATCTCGACGTCGCGGCTGACTTGCGGTCGAGGGGGTTCGAGGCGGAGCGCATGGCAGTACCGGTACCCTGACGGCCAGCGCTGCGATTTGCAGGCGGCTGCAGGTGTCTTGCAGCAGCCCCATCGGTGTCGGGAGGCGGGACTGGCGAGGCCATTGGGAAGGACTGCGGCTCGCCGGGTGCTGTCTGGTAGCTCTTGTAAAAGTCGTCAGGATCTAAGGTGGCAGCAGCATGATGGGCGAGGACCTGGGCATTGGTGGACGAGGCGGGCAGGACGATGTCGTTGGCAGGGTTAGAGTAGAAGGCAGCTGGGTTGGAGCTCGAGTGGCCAAGATGGGGGAGATGGCGAGCCGGCGGATGAGCATCATGGGCGACAAGCACGCTATCCAAGTCCAAGTCTAGGTCCGGGTCCGGGTCCATGTTCAAAGCCAGTCGAAGCTGATGTGATGGACAGCGACTGGTCAACAGCGACTGATCGGCAACGACAACGACTGGTCAGCGCACGTCGAGGCGAGGGGGGAAGGCCCGGGCATCGAAGCTGCTGGTGTCTCGCTCCTTGGTGTCTCTCCCTCTCCCGTGGTCTCCCGTGTGGTCTCCTTGTGGCGGCAACTTCGTTTGCTTTCCCCTGGAAGACGGGCTTTGGCTTTTTCGAAGCTGCTTGGCCCTGGCTGTTCTGTGAGACGTGGGAGAGAGGGGATGGGGGGTGGTGATTGGAAGGCGACGGGGAGATGGAATCGAAGGTGCTGCAGCCTGCAGCCCGGATACGACGCCCAGGGAGGTGGGTGATCCAACCATTGAGGCCTGCTCATCAACGGCCTGCTGGCAGCCCTGCCCTGGGTCCCCTGTAGCGGTCCTCTCAGGGCCTTTCAGCCCACCGGGGCATGTCACTGCGCTGCGGGCTTCAGGTGCTGCTAACGGGGGAGCTAGCGGTGCGTGTACATACCGACTGCTCCGTGATGCCCAGCGACTTGGCCGACTAACGTGTTAGAGGTGGACGGGGGTGGCTTAGTCTCCGCCATTAGAAGTCCGGAGTGTTTTTTTCCTCTTGCATCTTGCTGTGCTTCTTCTATTATCTTAGTAGTAGTACCAAGGACTCTAGTCAAGAGAGCGGCCATGTTTCACCTTTATGGATTGTTTCTTCTTTTCTTTTTTTTCTTTCCGCTTTTATGATGCCACTTACTCGCTTTAGGGAAAGGAAGAAAAAAGCAAAGAAGAGAGAGAGAGACGAGAAGAGAAAGAGACACACACAGTACAAGAGAATGGATGGAAAAACTTTTCCATGTTTTCTTATCGTGCTGTCTCCCGGCTCCTTTTCCCGGGTCGCCGGTGGGAGATAATTGGTACGAGTACTCGCAGTGAGATTATGGATGGATGTGACTACATCTGCACGGCTTGTTCCGCATCTCCCTGGCGACAGTCTTGCACCTTGTCTGAGAATCCAGGGGGTCAAGTTGCATATCGGGCGGCTGATGGAGGGCTGGTAACCAACGGCCAGACTCCGTACGAGTACCTCCTAATGCAGGCATCATCACTCCCCGAGTCCTATTGATCCATTGATCTCTCATTACGATGACCCTTGGCGGCACACGCATGTGCATGTGCATGTGCAAGCCAGTGCTATACAGGTATGGACTCGAACTCGTACGAGCAGGATTGCACAGGTGCCGCCACCTCGGCGAGGGAAATTGGCAAACCGTCTCCCATCCGAGCAGAATTGCGCCGAATGCAACTCGGCTGATGTGATGCCCAGCCAGCGCCCATCGGTATTGGCAGCTCCCACGATCTGCTGCGCGTCCTGAGACCCGTTGGCTCCCACTGAAATTTTACATGCATATGAGCACATGCTTGACTTTTGGACTAGTGGCCCTTTTCTCCATCGTCTTGGTACTTACTTGGCCTTGCCGGACAAGCTTCAATAGATCCAGGCACCTTGGATTGGATTGTACCCGTATGTAACAGGCACTGGGCTTCAATGTTGCATTGGATCCAGTCCACGTCGGCATCGATCGCTGCCACCACAACAGCTCAACTGTAAGCATTCCCCGTGTGGTGGCCTGGATGCATCGTAGTTTGTTTGTTTGCCATCTGCCAGAGCAACATCAAATGCCTGTCGGCTGCCGAGCGTCAACGCCAACGGCTCACACCGTTTCACCCGCCTCTCGCCGTGATTCGCATCCATTGAGTCCAACTTCAATGCTTCAATGTCGGCAGATACTACTAGTAGTAACAGCGACCAGGTGTCCACGTTCTGCCTCTCCGATCGCGATCGCGATCCTCGGACGCGGACGCGGCAGAACCTTGTTGACCCTTGCCAGGGCAAATCCGCTGGACAGCTTTTAGCACGGAAATGCCCAAATCTGACAGCGGTACAGGTACTTTGGACACGCTCTACTTTATTACCTACCTAGGTAGTGCGGTGCCTGTTAGTGAATGACGGATAGCGCTTTCTCAGCTCTTACTAAGGCCCGATTGAAGATAGCAACATTCAACCTCACATCCCACTCGCTGATTGTTCAACTTCATCCAGCCACAACCTCAGCCACGGCTTTGATGTCAATCAGTGCGTGCTACTGCTACAGTATTTACACGCAGCCAAACACGGCAACGCGACTGTAGCTCAACATCGTCGTTCTGGAAGAGATGCCCCGAGGCAAGAAAAGGAAGCGCGACGCAAACGACGCGTCAGGCAATCAGAATCTTGCCTCGTCCAAGCATCAAACCCCTGTGAAGAAGGATTTGCTGCTGCTGCACTATCCCGTCGTAAGCACGCTAAGAGAGCATGTGCTGTCCAGCCTTCCCGATACCTCAAAGACTAGGCGGAAGAAGATTGCGGCCTTGGGATCCAGCAAAGATGCCAGTGCCATAGAGAACCAGCTTGCCCATGTCCTTGACTCAGCCTTGGTCGGCACCAGTGCTTCAACTTCAACTAGTCCAGAATCCGAACCAGAGAGAGCTACATGGCAGCAGTGGCTGTCCTTCTCCCAGAAAGCAGATGAATCAAATGTGACTATATCTAACGGAATAGCTACATCAATTGCCATCCAATCCGAGGTCTGTCACTGTCTCCCCGACTGCAACTACAAGTAGTAGCTCGAACGAGGCTAAGTAGCCCAATGTAGATTATTGATTTTGTCATCTGGCTGCTGTTTGCAAGAGAGAGGGCTAGCTCATGGCCGAAGAACATCTTATGTGATGGCTACCGTAGAAATCCCAGAGACGATCAATCTGCCAGGTCAACTATCGCCGGGGTATTCAGCCTCTATCCCAACCTCCATGTCACGGCCTTGAGAGAGGCTCCATGGCCCCAGCTCTTGGCCCTCCTGGGTCAGGCCGGTGACAAAATAATGCTCAAACTGCTATCGGAGTGCTCTGTATTTCTCAAAGTTGATGCAGGCCTCGACAACTACCTTCAAATTACTGGTTGGTGAAAAATGCTCGCGACTTTGTCTGCCCTTTGCTGACCATTGCTCGCAAGGTATCCCCCTATCCGAGCTGGATACCAATTCGCTGGACCAGAAGTTGAAGCCTCAGATACGCAAACCCTCAGACATTACCATTGTCCGCAGTAGGATATTTTATGCAAAGCCGGCTACATCTTCAAAGGGCCTAGTTCAAGCAGGTTTCAAGCATATCCGTTTGTCAAACTGTTCACTGATATAACCTTGGACGTGATTGCTAAGCATGGCTAGATGCGTTAAATCGCCATCCCTATTATAGCGAGGCCTCTGGTGCTAATGCGGATAGCCAGAAGTCGATAAAGATTCGACAGCAAAACGAGGCACATACGATTAAATTCATGATGTACATTTTCCCCCGCCAATTCGGCTTACACAACGTCTTCACTTCTGCCATCGATGCGAATTACACAGCTCAAAAGTTTTACGACTATACCCTTCGTGAAGATGAAATCAGTAAGAAATTGAAAGCCAGTAAAGGCTTTCCCGAGAAGCCATTGCCAAAATTGCCCAAACGACTAAGGGGCTCTACCAGAGACCTCGTGCGGCGTTTACAGGTTCTTCATGCCCGGTGTTCTTACTTTGAGCTTCTCAGACACTACTGTCCAACATTCCTCGATGGATCTCATGGAAGAAAAAAGCAGACTGGAACTTTGGCATCACCAATCATCTCAGTTCCACTTCAAGATCGAGCGACTCAGGCTACTGAATCTCAAGCCAAACGGCGCCCACGCCGCCATCCCGCGGATACTTCGGCGCTCCCTGAGTATAAATCTCTTGTGGAGCTGGCATGTCCCATCGCCTTCGTGTCGGCCTTCTGCCAAGCTGCACTTGCAAAGATTATCCCAGACAACTTCTGGGGCAGTGAGAAGAACTGCCATAACAAAATTGTATTTCTCCGCAAAGTGGACCATTTTATCAAACTCCGGCGGTTTGAAATGATATCACTGCATGAGATTACGCAAGATTTCAAGGTTGGTAGAGTCCTGAAGAAAGGAGCAATTTGTGATTTTTGCTCATAGAAGATTTAGGTCACGGAGCTTGCTTGGCTGGTTCCTCCCGTCTGCGAAGGGCGAAAAACTAGCCCGACGGATATGAACAAACGATATGAAATATTTTACGAATTTCTTTATTATGTTTTCGATTCGCTTTTGATACCCCTGATTCGAAGCAATTTCTACGTTACGGAATCTAACACGCATGGGTCCCAAGTCTTTTATTTTCGCCATGATGTTTGGAGGTTGATAGTAGAGCCATCAATGTTGAGCCTCAGAGAAGGAATGTTTGAAGAAGTCAGTCTGAATGAAGCGACGCGCATTCTCGACTCCAGGAGGCTGGGCTTCAGTCAGTTAAGGCTACTACCCAAGGGCACCAAACTACGTCCCATTATGAATCTCAAACGCAGGCAAATGAAGGGCAGTAAGCAGTCCAGATTGCTTGGTCCCAGCATCAACTCCATTCTTACACCTATCCATGCTGCATTGAAGTTCGAGACGGTACGTACTAATAAGAAAGCTCCCTCTATTCCCCTTTGAAGGCACATGCTGCGTGTAGATTCAACTAAGGCTGACCAAACGCAGTTGATGAATCCCTCTAAGCTGGGGTCAACTCTTTTCGCTGTTGGAGACATTTACGAGCGTCTTAAGTCGTTCAAGGATTCTTTGCTGCCAAATAGCCAACGCAGCTTCTATTTTGCTAAATTGGACGTCAAAGCTGCCTTTGACACAATACCTCAGTCGTCGGTTCTGAACTTGATGCGCTCAGTTCCCAGTCAGACTCAATATATCATAAAAAAGCACGCAGAGGTGAGACCGGGCGAGCGATTGGGTCTCACAGAAGGGAACTCTACATCCAAGCCCGTCCGCCGATGGCACTCCACAGCCATACCCCAGAGCGAGCCGACCTCTTTTCTCAACCAGCTGGAAAGCGGTATGGGAAGCAAGAAGAAGAATACCGTCTTTGTCGACAATGCGGCTTTCCAGAAGCACGAAACATGCAGCCTGTTGGCTCTGTTATCCGAACATGTCGGGCGCAACATTGTCAAGATTGGGAAAAAATACTATCGACAGAAGAAGGGCATTCCTCAGGGCTCCATTTTGTCAACGTTTTTGTGCAACTACTTTTACGCCGACCTAGAGGCTCAGCATCTGGGTTTTCTGGATGGGCCAGACTCCCTTCTGTTGAGGCTCACCGATGATTTCTTGCTCATTACCTTGGACAGAGAGAAGGCTACTCGATTCGTCGAGACCATGCACCAGGGCTTTCCCGAGTATGGCGTTGAAGTGGGCCACGACAAAACGCTCGTCAACTTTGACATGCGCGTTGAAGGCGAGAGCGTGCGTAAACTTGACAGTGATGGCAAGTTTCCCTATTGTGGCACGTTTATTGACTGCAAAACATTGGAGATTACGAAAGATCGCCGTTCAAGCAAGGATAATGGTATGTTATAACTTTTGTGAACCTGCCAGGCCTAGTGCATCTTGAGTTCTATCTGACGATTCGCACCCATTATAGATACATCACGGTCCATTACCGTTGACTTCGGGCGATCCCCAGGCCAGAATTTCCAGCGTAAAGTGCTCAGTCAGTATTGCCCTCTCCCCAACCTCATACATGTTCCTTCTCGGTACACTAACATAACAAAAATGCGTATAGACTCGTTCAAATACCAGTCTCATCTCATGTATTTCGACACGGAACACAACTCAGTCGATACTGTTCTTGGCTCATTGCGCGGCGCCTTCTCTGAGACTGCGCTCAAGATGTGGGCTTATCTGCGATGTTTGTCTACGTCTACGCGACTATCAGTGAATCTAATCATCGGTAGGTAATTCGAGTGTGTAAATGTATAGAGTGTTATTAGGTGCTGATTATTCTCTTTTGCAGGGACTATTAAAAAGGTCGTGGATATCGCATTCCTAATCCTGACGAGTAAATGGAGGAAGAAGCGGTTCGAGAAATATGCATGCGAGATTCGCAAGGCGCAGGTCATTGCGTGAGTTTGAAAGTTTTATAGCCAGAAATTCGTGGGCTAACAGCTTCAAGCACCGGGTATTCTGCCTTTTTGGAAGTGTTGAGTCGACGACAGGCTGGGTATGGCGAGGTGATTGCATGGTTGAAGGAGGAGACTGCTCGTCTTGCTACGACGAAATGAGTTACGAAATTCCGCGGGAGAATGTAGAGGGGTATTTAATCAAGATCTATATACACTATTAATACAAATGATGAAACCAACATTCGTCTGTCGCAGTATCTTGTCTATCCGTTCCGTGTAAACCCTTCCCATGAGGAGATTGAACCCAACAAGGATGATATATGCCATCTACAATGCTATTCCAGTCTGCCACCATGTCTCTCCCACATACAACTTAGGCAAATGATCCCAATCCCAGCGCCACCAGTGATCCCCTTGTTGTCCAAACCCCAAAAACCGAAACAGAGATATGGGCGCCGGCTCAACCAGCCACAGCCCCGTCGAAGAAAGGTCGTCAATGAAAAGAGGCGCCGTAAAATACAACCACACCAGCGCAAAGACAAGATTAGCAGTCCGAGACACAAGCCGCGGCGGCCGTGGCATGTACGCTCGAGATATCGACGCCACGCATTGCTGAAGCGCAATGCCCGTCGCCTGAAGGAGGAAGAAAGCCGGCGCCCTCCAAGGCTTCGTCTTTGGCACAGAGGTGAGGCTGCCCGAAGCGTGTAGGATCCCAGACTGCAAAAATGACACGAGAATAGCCAGCAGGGAAGCAAGCCGCGTGCCCCTTTTCAGATATCCCTCTCGAAAGAGATATGTTACCGGAGCGGCAAACTGCATGCGGAACGTCTGATGCCACATGCTTCCCCACCAGCCAGCGAGACCGCGGTCGAGGACCTGTCCAAAAGAGCCAAACGTCGAAGCAAACTGGAATAGAAACCCCCGAGAAGGATAGAAGCGGTTGGCCATCCAGTACTGTGCCAGGTCTGATACAGCAAAGACGGCCTCAATCGCAGCGTACACACCGGCAAGACAAAAGATTTCCCTATAAGCGAGGAGCAGCCACGGGGGTATTCTCTGGAGGTGAGGCGGAAGCACGTGGTTTTGGTGGTCTGGCCCGAGGATGAAGTAAGGGTCTTTCACCATGTAAACGGAGAGGAAGTCGAGGACGAAATAGAGAACGATGATTTTGGTGAGACGATCGCGGACAAACCCGGCCTGGGTGAGATGGCGCTTATATCCGCTTCTGCTGGTTTTTGGTATCGAGTCCACGTCGACTTTGTCCCCGTGAGAGATTTGGGAGGGGATTGTAGGCCTAGGGAGGGATGCGACGGACCAGTTCCAACCTACGAGAATGGGCAAGCCAGTTAGTTAATTGTCATGGCAAATGTCAAATGTTCAACAATGCTGCTTACCAGCGCATCGGAAGCTGAGTATGAGATCTGTGGACCATGCTAGCCGCTCAAGAAAGCCTCCATCTGGGTAAGGTTCCCAGATATACTCAAATTCCTGCTGTTGCTGCCCGGCTTGTGATTTCAAGCTATTGGACGGCTTCTTTCGTGTTCGCAGCTCGTTCCCATTTCCATTCCCTTTTCCGTCTGTCTTTGCGTTCTCTCCCTGGACATCATTGCCCGTAACTTCAGCGTCCACCGAGTCCGGTCCAAGATTATCGTCCACCTCGCCGATCAAGTCAGGATCTTTCTTAACCCTCAGCACTCTAGCAGCATCAAACTGTGGCCTCGTCCAGATGAGCAGGTTCAAGCTCAAGACGGTCCCCCACGTCGCCGCCAGCCCAGCCGCATACGCGCACGCCATATTCGTGCTCGAGGCATACCGCAAATGATAGACGTTGGACCATACGATAAACGCCATTGCCAGCCATCGCGTATGATAGAACCACATCCGGCGCTTATGCGGAACAGCCAGCCACAGCGCGGGTACGATGAACGGGCCAAGCAAACACCAGGGTAAGAGCAGGGGCTTTGCGGTGCCGTTGGCGACGGCGAGCCTGAAGGTGTCGCCATATGCGGTCCGGACACCGTAGCTTAGGCCTTGGATGGGCATTTTGGCCACGATGTCGTCGATATCTGGCGGTTCCATGGCGTTTTTTTTCCTCTTTTTTTTGGGGGGTTCCCAGTCGCTTCCTTTATCTATATCTCTCTTTTTTTTTTTCCCTTTCCGAATGTGTCTGTCGTGTAGCGAATGCCGCGCAAATGACGCCAATGAGCGTTCGTCTCTGATCAGCCGATGGGCGTCCGCCTGGACTTGATCATGATGCGCAAAAACACGAGTTGCTTCAGCCCAGCCCCATGTGAGACTTTAGACCCGACCACGTTGTTTGTTTGCACAAGCCATGCGACTGTCTGGGTCTTAGCGGCTGGTTAAGCAGAGACAAGGCGGTCTGGTGACAGGTCCAGTCGCCTTCAATGTTTTTCTCCGAATTTTCGTGGCGTCGTGAAGGAAGAGGCACCTGGCAGTCGATATATGAAGCTGCTAGACGATACACGGAAGCTATCAACCTATCGGGAGAAAGGTCTGCAGCATTTGCAAATTAAAGCAGGCATTCTGGCTGGGGGAGCTACAAGGGTGGCGACGCTAATCATCGATCTCGGTGAGAAGTGATTGTGAGTTGGAGAAGCATGATCCCTGTACGAGCTAAATCTCCCACTGAATGTTACCCTGCAGCGACCCTGATTTTCTTTCTTTCGTTTGTTTGAAAACCTTGCAAAAGCTGCGTATTGGTGTGGCATAATACTTTTGATTCAGATCATATTCTAGAATTGTTTTCATCACTTCATTTACTTGGAGTCCTCAATGTGGCACTGTGCTGGTGGACCAACTCAACGTCGATCTCGCGTCATGATACAGCATCAATAGCAACAACTTGGTCCACACAGCAATACTAAAAACAAAGAAGCGAAAGAAATACTCACGCTAGAATACCACTAGATCAGCCATTCGACTGAGGCTATAATCTGCTAGTAGTATCTGACACCAATCAAGGCTAGTGTAGGCATGTCAAAGATCACGAAGTTGTCATCCATGATTCATCAATTACTCACTCTCTCAAGCCCCTGGTGGCTCAAACATCAAGTGCAAAAACAAAGGATGTGAAAAAACAACAAAAAAAGAAGGCGCATTCGCATTTCGAACGCCGGGATTTGCACCCGGGCTGTTGACGTTGTTAGCAGGCATTTCTGAGCAGTTGACAGCTGCGGCACTCACTCTCTCCCTTGGGAGGGGAGCAGGTTCACTACTACCCCACGTCCGAGTTGGTGGAAGAGATTGTTTGTATTGTAGCTTATAAAGGTCTTTGTCCGAGTACGGTAGAGAGAGGCTTGAGCTGACAGCTGGCACGGGTGGGCGTTGTCTGTGCGATGCTGGCGATGCTGCTGATAGGCGAGTGTTGGGGAGAAGGGAGATTTAGCATCGGATGGCAGCAGGGCGTCATGCAGCGTCCCGATTTCAACTAGGATTATTTTTAGGTGGTGGATTGGTGCTTATCGTTTGAAAAGCTGTATTGAAATCAACAGCATTCATTATCAAGATGTGCCACAGAGACTCAGAGTTGGTATATGGCGTATCTCATGTAGAAACAAGGTTGAAAATGTCCATGATGGAACTGCGTTTTGGTATATATCCCATACTCGCTGACCACTTCGGATAGTAACTGCCTGATGGCATAAAGTATGTACAGGCCGTTGAACGGTCAGTATCACCGCATATATCCAAAAGCCAGATCGACAGATGCTGTGGACAAGGTCAAGCAAGGTTGACTGGTGGATGGCACTTCAAGGATGAGGGTGGCCTCAATGTAACACGCACACACGAGAGCCTGGCGGGTGAATGAATGCTCAGCGTCGTATCGTATACAGTTGTGGGATCAAGTCTTTGTTGACAAATGAAATGAAAATATTCTACTCGGTTGCTCCCAGTCCACCATACTGTCCCATGATGCTCGTACAAGTATATCGCCTCTGTTCATCACCACCATCTTGTCTCTCCCCCACCAACCCAGACTAATAGCCGTTAGACCTCATCGAGCAGTAGCTCTGCCCTACCAACCACAACGCCAACACTGTTCCATCCCCGGGTCGCTCATCCGCCGCATTTATGGGTCTGAATTAACCCATTCAACCATTGTTGCGGAACCAATACGCCCCCATGGCCCAGCTTTTTTTTTTCCCTGAACGGCATGTGTACCAAAGCGTACTCCCCTAGCCGCCCTGTCAGGTAATCCATCAGTTCTGACACTCAACTTACTGTACGGACACTATGGCGCTTATAAATACCTATCCATACCTTATTAGCGACCAGCTTCTTGCCCTAGTTTATGTAATTTCGATGCTCAGAACTTGTCGGCCTTGACCGCTGCACTGTTCTCCGACGTCTCCGTAATTCCGCCTGCAAAACCCATCCTCTGGCTGGCCGGAGCCCAAGCAGTAGGTACTAATTCGTCGCTGGCCTTGTGTTTCGATACTCCGCTGACAAACCAGGGCTGGCCAGTCAGTTGGTTGGGTATTGCCAGGCAAGGAATACTTGCTCGGTACTTGGCGCTGGGTGCGCATGCTGGGCCATCCAGGTTCCCCGAGCCAGCAGATGCAGCCCAGCACAGATGCTCGTTGGTCCGCGTCATTCCAGGCTCTTGCAGGTCCGGTCGCCTGGATGTCACCCCAGCTGCGCGGGTACCTTGTGGATAAGACGAGCATCTTGGTTTGATAAGGCGTGGGTGGGAATTCCCAGTTTCTGCCGTTGGTCCCAGCCTTGACTCTTGGGTCTGGCTCTGGCCTCCTCGCAGCCTCACTTGCTTCTTCCCACCTGCATCGAAAATCCTCTGTGCGAAATGCGCTGCTGAGCCAATGTGTGCTGCCACGCCGTGCGCGCAGCTCCTATTCCTCGCCTCTGCTGCTTATTCCTGATGCTGCTTTTTGCTTCGTGCGCCCCAACCGGCAATTTTGCGTAGCCTTCTCGGAGACTTTTGCAACCCCGACAAGTCAACGGCCTGCGATTCTCTTCCCCCCCCTCTGCTAAGCCCTGCCTATCAGCTCCCAGTCGCAGGCAGAATCTCCCACTGAGCCGGAGTCGTACTGCGTCCTGTCCTTGTGCTCGTACGCGCCTTGTGCTCGCATTCCGCTCTCGACGTCCCGGCCATGGCTCCCGGAAATGCCCTGGCCGCGCCGGCTGGCCCACAGAAGCATCGGGCCTGCGACGAGTGCCGTGAGTCCCCGTGAGAGAATGTGCACGCTCCCGAGTCCACGGGCTTGGGACGCGGGCCAAGAGTTCCCGGAGACTTTGATTCTGATTGTGGTTTGCTGTCTAGGTTTCCGCAAGATCGCCTGTTCCAAGGAGCCCGGTGGCTGCCTGCGCTGCCAGAAAGAGGGCATCGCCTGCGTCTACTCGCCCCAGAAGCCCATGGGTCGTCCCCGAAAGCGACGACACCCAGAGAACCCGGCCTCGTCTACGACTGTGTCTGCATCCGGGCTGGTGACCGCTGTCCAGTCGGCGTCCTTGTTGGGCTCTATTTCTGCTTCGTCCATTGCTTCTGCCGCTCTACCTGCTGCTGTTCCCCTGCCTCCGGTCTCAGCCCCAACCACAGTTCCTCATTCGTCTTCTCTCCTCGCTGAAAGTGGTGCCGTGGCAACTTCTTCGTATGGCGATGCAGGCCATCACCATCACCATCACCATCACCAACATCATCACCACCAACATCATCAACACCACTTACACAATGCCACCGCTCACCATCATAATCACCATCAACAGCCTCTGCCGCCGACAGAGCTGACAGAGCTGACAGACCATGCTCTGGACCTCCTTAGCCAGTCTCTGCCATCAGACACTTCTTATTTGGACCTACTCCCCGACTATGACTCAAGCAATTCTTATCTGTTTGGGATGGACGACAATTCGGCCTATTCCTACTTGTCTCGAGACAACCAAGGGTTGTTTGATGGTGTGGGGATGCCTGTCATGAACATGGGCCAGGCTGATCCGCTCGAGGGTATCAGCTTCGACGAGACAGATCCGTCTATTGCTACCATGTCCAAAGACCTCAACGAGTCTCTGCAGAGATACATGGTGTCTCAATATCTACAGGCTCCGACACCTAGCGAGCCCAGCCCCAGCACACACTCCTCTAATTGTTTTGAACCGTTGGGTTCGACTGGCACGGATACGACGTCGCCGGAACTGGGACAGGCGAGACCGCATCCCACTAGCTCGTGCGACTGCCTCTCCTCGCTCTCCATGGCGCTGGGCTCCCTGAACCGCCTTCCGTCCGATGTCTTGTCTGCCATGCGTGTCGCCCGCGAGGCCACCAAAATTGCGCACGATACCCTCAACTGCGCACAATGCTACCAGGACATGTTCGACCTCTCCAAACCGCCGCCCATCTCTCGTTTCCAAAGTATGATGTGCCTTGGAGCTCTTGTTCCCTCCGCCTGCAACGCCTATGCCTCGATTCTGGAAATGGTGGATAGAGACACGGAGCGTGCCAAGCAGGAGAATCAGATGCTCTACTTCAGCTACAAGGATGTTGGTGGAATATGGACAAGAGTAGCCGCCGAAGACAGTGCCGGCAACTCTCCCGACTGCGCACTGCTCAGGAGCTACAACAACAGATTCCTGGAGCCAGATACTTGGCGGACCACTATGCGAGCAATCTTGAAGGTTGAGGTTTACGGGTTCAATAATGGAACGGCATCCATGGCGAATTCGTCAGACTGCACCGCTTCATGCTCATACGTCAATGTGCACCGCGGGCTCAGGGACGTCGTCACGCTTCTTGATGAGAAGAACCAGAAGAGGCACGACATTGCGGATGCCCTCATGCAGTCCAGCCAACATCACATTATCTCGTCGTCTCCTTATTTCCTCATGTCGGGTCCACCGAAGCCTTGCCCGCGCGAAGACAGGCACTGCATGCGGATGCTTGACATGGCGAGGATGGCGCTGAGTAACTTGGTTATAACGTAGCCAAGTTGAGCAAAAAAGACGAGTTTTTTCGACATGATTCGTGCGAAGAAAAGGGGCGTTTTGTTGGATATCCTGTGTGCGCTGATTACACACCACTCTTTTTTTTTGTTTCCCTCTGCTTTTCT